GATCATATTTAAAGAGCATAATCTAATGCTTCATATACTACGATGGCTAAGCCAATCAAAACACTGTAATTGCAATATCCAATTATTCAGTTTTTAATCAATATAATTATACATACGTTCCGAACATTGTCGAGGATATATTTCCTTGCAGTCACACTTAAAGGATCCGACAGTGTTACGGCACTTTTTAGTGTAGTCACAGTTGTGAGTTTTGGTCTTACACTCATCTATGTCTGCAATTGAAAAAAGTTAATGATGGGTCATCAAACTGATTTAGTTCACCTTTTATGCCTATTGTTGGAGAGAATGAAGTGCTATGCCTTTGATAACCTACGTGGCCGGCGTTGAAAGGGGAAGGGAAAGGGGGAATTTGGGCGTGCGCGAGAGCGTGTGGGGCGCGCAAGGAAGAAAGGAAAGGAACGCCCGCAAGGACGCTATTGTTTTCTCCATTTTTTTACGCTCAGATTCTGAGCGTAAAAATAGTATTTGGTCAGAATTAATTAAATGTCAGTCTTCGACTTAATGCCTTGTTCCCATTGGTTGAAATAAACATCACACCATTTGGCTAACGAAACATATGTCATTAGTGAAGCGTGATGAGATTTCTTTACCGGAATTCATCGTTAGAAGGCATCAATTTCAGCTTAAAAGGAGAATAGAAAAACGCAGTTCAAGAACCGTATGATAATGAAAGAAAAGGCCTGTCAGCAGATGGGTTTTACAGACTGGTTCTGAAAAGTATCATCTCCCAAAGGCTTGTCGGCTTTACTCGCCAGAAGAAAGGAAAAATCATGCTGCCAGTGTGCTTGTTATCTGCTCTTTGAACCGCGTTATCAACGGCAAGATAATTGAAGACGAAGCCACAATCTTGGACAAAATAAATGGAAATCCTAGATCCCCCCCCCCCACCCAAATCAAGGATGAGAAAATGGCGCGTTTTTGCCCTGCGCACGGCTTCATCCTTGATTTGGGGGAGGGGGAGGGGGGGGCGATGGGGGTTTGCTGTTCCATTTTATTTTGTCCAAGATTGCAGCCATAACTTTTCAAGATTCTTGATTGAGGACTTCTTCTTGCCGGTTATTAAAACCGCCAGGAACTTACTTCAATAATAAATTGTTGCCTTCTTGCAGATCTTCGAAGTTCAGCTCTTCTTTCCCCGCCACCAGCGTTCTTTTGTGTGCTCCGCTGGATCCGATTCGTGCTGATAGAAATTCAAAGAGTGCGTGACGGCAAAGTGTTTTAATTTTTCTTAGACAAACATTGTATTGAAACTTGCGAAGGGCTACATTTCTTATTAAATAGTTTTCCAGTCCGATTCCTTCAGCAACAACTTGAATAGATTTATTCTAGATTTTATGTAACTCGGCACGCGTCGTTGCAACTTTCAAGGAAGATTCCTTCGATGGACGACCGCGTGTGAACTTTTTTTTAAAGTACCTTTACTTTAGATTTCTTGTTTTAGGAAAAATAGTGCGAGAAATACCACTAGAATACGTGCATCGAGGGCCAGACTTATTTGACAGCTAGTCATTCACAGTTGCTTTATTTTTGTTTGTTTTTTTAATTAGTAGGCGGGATGGCGAAAACAATGGCTTCTTTGCAGGCGTTATATCCCTTGTCACGATCAGGATTGCAGTGCACGTCTAAGCGCAACATTAAAAGAATTTTTCGGCTCCAGAAAAGGGCTGCCTGTGTTATTTTAGGCGTAACAATGCTGCATGCGAACGTACGGTAAGTTTATCTAAGAGACTTGACTAGATAACGTTTTTGTGATGATATCAAAGTTAACAAGTTATGCTTAATTTATAAATGTTTAAATGGTCAATGCCCTTATTACTTAGGCAGCAATTTAGTGCGTGTCAGTGACATTTAATCTAGAATTTCACGCTTGGGTAAAATTACTATACGCTGTCCTTGGTGAAATCGTTAAAAGGAAGGTGGGAAAACTTTTCTTACTTCAGCCACAAAACTTTGGAACTCTATGCCTCCTTACTTGTTCGTATTAGCTCTAAAACCAGCATTACATCATTCAAACATAACTACATTAATTATTTAAAGGAATGTTATGCCGGCTAAGATAGTTTTCCTCTTAATTCATAACCTATGTTCATCTATTTATTTATTTCACTTCATTCATATTATATTCCTCTTATCTATTTCCATTTGATTTCTTTTCGGTATACAAAAATTTAGCATGATTAGTTATTTGGGGTATTTGGCATGTTATTGTTAATGATATATCATTGTGTAAATGAAGACGGAATCTATTAGGAACTGACTGAATAATTTTAATTTTCAGACTGGACAAAAACCTTGTACCAGGATAATTTAAACAATATCACATTCTTTTTTACATTTTACAAGAGCTACATTGTATAAATGTAATTAGTTATCTGCAATAACACCAAAGAAAATTTCTTATGAGGGCCCGAGAAAATAAATGTCAAATTTCACAAAAAAGACACCTCACACATGAAATGTTTAGAATTTTACCTGTGTTTTCACACTTCTTGTGAAATTTACCATTTATTTTCTCGGCTCCCATGAGAAATAGTCTTTGGTGTTATTACAAGTAATTAATTACATCTCCAGCCCTTGAAAAATGTAAAAAACCATGCTACATTGTTTAATTTTTCTGGTACAAGGTTTTTGTCCATTGGAAATTGAAATTACTCAATTTCCTGATGGATTCCGTCTTATCTAATGGACAGCTTTATCCCTTTAACTGAAAGTGAAGTTAGTAAGTTGATTGGCTGTTCTCCGAAGAATAGCTGTATGTTTGATCTGATGTCAACACCTATGGTAATCAGCTGTACTGATGTCCTATTACCAGCCATTACTAAAATGATCAACCTGTCTCTTAATTATGAAGAATTTGCGGATGATTGGAAATGTGGGCTTATTAATCCTACCTTGAAGAAACCTGGATTGGATTTGCTGTACAAAAATTACAGACTAGTTAGTAACTTACAATACGTGTCCAAGTTGACTGAAAAAGTCGTTTTTAATCAAATTTAATATCACATGGTTTCAAATGCTATTTTTCCTGCGCTTCAATCTTCTTACAGGCAATTCCATAGCACTGAAACTGCACTTATCAAGGTAATGAACGATATTTTGTTAAAGATGAACTCTCAACATGTCACTATGTTAATTTTATTGGATCTCAGTGGTGCCTTTGACACTTTTGATCATCGAATACTTTTAGAGAGGCTATCTGACGAGGTTGGCATACGTGGCACCGATCTAAATTGGTTTAGATCGTACTTGTCTGATAGAAGTCCGCGCGTTGCTGTACATGGAGTTCTTTCTCGTCCTTTTGACTTGAATTACGGGGTACCCCAAGGTTAATGTTTAGGGCCTTTGCTATTCATAATATATGCGTCTAAGCTGTTTAAGATCGTGGAACATTATCTTCCCGATGCTCACTGTTTCTCAGATGATACGCAGCTGTATCTGAGTTTTAAACCTCTCGGCAACACTGCTCAAGCTGATGCTATACAAGCTATGGAAAAGTGCATTGACGCGGTGAGGAAGTGGATGATTCAAGATCGGTTGATGATCAATGGTGATAAAATGGAGTTTTTGTTGGTCGGCACACAACAACAGCTTGATAAACTAGATTCGTGTTCCATTACTGTGGGCATTAATCGTATCAGTCCAAGCCCATGTGTTAAAAACCTTGGATCGTGGTTTGACAGAAACTTAAGCATGACTGATCATATAAACAAGGCTTGTAATGTGGCATTTTATCATTTACTTAACTTGAGACGTATCAAGAGATTCTTTAATTACTTTGGTTCATGCTTTTATAACCAGCCGTCTTGACTATTGTAATGGTTTATTGTTTGGCTTACCAAAGGTGCAGATCGCTAAATTACAGCTTGTACAAAATGCAGCAGCAAGACTTATTCTTGGCATTGGAAAGTTTTCTCACCTTACACCGGCGCCTTATGAGCTGCACTGGCTGCCGGTTTCTTTGAGTATTGACTATAAGATTTTACTTTTGACTTCCAAATGTATTTATGGCCTAGCGCCAACTTATCTTAGTGATCTTATAAGTATACCGTCAATTTGGCTTTTCCATCAAGTTCTTAAATCCCATCCACTGCCTCCAGTTCGCTGACGATGCCGCTGTCATAAGCGGTCAGGAATCAGAAAATCAACATCTAATCAACCGCTTTATAATCTGGTGTAATTGGTCGAAAATGATAATAAGAGTTGATAAATGTTCTACTTTTTGAATACGGAAACTGAGCACTAAATCTGTCCAATATTTACCCAAACTGTTGATTAATGGAGTCCTAATTCCCTGTGTGGAAATGGGTGAATCATTTCGTTACTTAGGTCGCTTCTTTGACCTCAACATGTCTAACTAGCAACACATGTCTGAATTGTCCTCTCTTGTACAAGACTTGATGAATGGCATTGATATAAAGCCACTGCATCCTAAACACAAACGTCTTCTGTACAGCCGCTATGTCCTATCTAAACTGTCCTGGCATTTCACTATAGCTAATATATCCAAAACCTGGATAACGGAACACCTCGACTATGAAGTGAATGGCTATATTCGAGAATGGCTTGATATTCCGATAACTGGAACACTGAGTAATGTTTCCCTAGAACGCAATAAATTTGGTCTTAATATTTGTCTTCCCTCTATTAAATTTACTCAGTGCCAAACAGTTCTCCGAAATTCATTAAAAGAGTCACCAAATGATTCCTTAAAAGATCTCTTGAAATCGTCAAGCTGTCACACTAATATTCAATATGATGTGTACAAATCCGCTAAGGAAGTTCTTAAAGATTTCTGTTCTAATCAAGAGGATAAACTGCAACACCACCTAATATCTCAAGGTTTCTTCTTCTAAAATGTTATGAAGTATTCATTGTCATCTGTAAATTCTATTTGGTCAGAAGCCCAGTCTCATCTACCCAAGAACATTTACAATTTTACCATCCCCTACGTCAACAACTCCCTCCCTACACGAAAGAAAATGGCAAGATGGGGATTATCACAAAGTCCTGATGGCTCGTTTTGCCTTAATCCTGAATCACTCCTTCATGTTGTCGCTGGTTGTCAACAGTACCTTGATCGCTTTACCTGGAGATACGACTCAATCCTCAACTTCATTGCCAAGTCACTTCAACCTGTAATTAATGCTCACTCTTCACTCTATGCAGATGTTAATGGTTTTCTGAATCCCTCAATAATAACTGGTGAAAATTATCGTCCAGATCTTCTTTTCCTAATCCAGTCAAAGTGCCTATATGTTCTAGAATTAACAGTTGGTTTTGCGTCTAACCTTAACAACAATGCGTTGCGTAAAAAAAGAAAAATATCTGAACTTGATCAACGAAATGAGTAGACATTACAGATGTGTGAAATTTGTAAATCTCTCCATGAGCTCCCTTGGCGTTTTCTCCGACGAATGCTCCACGTTCTTAGACATGATGAATGACATTGGCATTGACAAAAAGCATCAACTTTATATAATGAAGAAAATGATAAATATAGCCATTAGAGCAACATATTACATCTTTTGTTGTAGAAATAGGAATTGGGATAGCCCAGACTTAATGCAATTTTGATTTCTTTTCTTTCTTCTTCTTCTTCTTCTTTTTTTTTTTTTAATCATACAATCTCAAGCAGCATTTGTAAATTGCCTATACGTAGCGAGGTTTACAATTTTACATTTAAAAACACAAATAAAGTTTCCATTATTATTATTAATTTCTATTGCAATTTAAGGGAGGGCCACAGCTTTGTCACTGTTCTACTTGAAAGAGCTACCCCTAATAAAAAAGTTCTTCTTCTTCTTATCACTATTATTATTATTATTATTATTATTATTATTATTATAGACGTCCGCTAATGTGAATAAGGAGGTGAAAAAGACTTCAGAGGGAAAAAAAAAAAAAAAAAAAAGAAAAAGATTAGACCACCGGCCCCCCCACCAAAAAAAACACCCAGGGGAAGAGGGGGCGCCAAGAGTTGGGGGGGAGAAGACTTTTTTTTTTTTTTTTTTTCTCGCGTAGGGGGGGAAAGGGACACACGACGCGGGAAAACACCAACTATTCCTTTTCTGCGCTCCGCTCTACAAACAAAAAAAGGAAAAAAAAAAAAAAAAAAAAGAAACAGATTAGTCCACCGGCCACCCGATCAAAGATGTCATCACGTGAAAGAGTGGTCTCTAAGTTTTGTGCAAGACAACACTCTTCCGCTACAAAAAGCTGTCCTGCATTGGGGAAACTCGTACAAGATCTGGGGTAAGCCTAACTTTTTGCTTTTTGCTGCCAAGCATCAAATAAAGAGTTTTTTTTTCATGGAGTGTGAATCTGAAGGTTAAGGATATGTGGCCGTGATTGCAGATGAAGAACAGCTCATTTCTGCAGCCTCAGCAGGCAACCCCAACCCGAAGTCTTTGCCACACTCTTTCCAACAAGGTAGTGGCTCAACTGTGGACATGACATGGCTCATAAAACAGGGAAAACTTTAGATGGAGAGAACAGACTGGAAGGCCTGAAGAAAATGTCAGTGACCTCTGCTTATGTATAACTAGTCGGCAGTTTAAAAACTTTGGGCAAGAAACGTTTCAAGGTAGGACAAGAAAAAGTACAGCATCAAGTTCGTTACTGTTACTGGTGCAAGTCCATTTTTGGTTTGAGAGCTAGAGAGCATGTACCTACAACTGCTGACCATGTATAAACAGACTATACTTGCCATGGATTACCATGCTGTTGAGAGTGCAGTTTTTATACAAAGGAGGATTGCCTATCGCAGTACAAAGATATTTTCTTAGGAGAAGGAAAAATGGAATTGTACATTCACTTTAACTGCTGTCAACGAAAAGAGTACCAATTACTCTAAGACAGACGCTTAAAAAGGAATTGGACCAGTTGTCCAGCATTGGAGTGATTCAGAGAGTTGATACTCCTACTGAGTGGATCTTGGCACTTGTACTAAGCACAAAGAATCAGGCTTTTCACAGAAACCACTTACCCCTGCCCATGATACATGATGTTCTTCTCCTGCTCTCAAAGGTTTGCGTGTTCACAATATTATATGCCAAAAATGGGTTCTGTTCATATGAATTATGTAGTATTGTAACCACTTTTGTAATACCTTAAGGTATTTGTATTGTCTCCAGCCCAGGAAAAATTTCAGAGGCGAATTGATTTGGCACTTGAAGAGCTACAAGGGCAGAAGGCTATAGCAGATGACATCCTTGTCTTTGGATCGGGGGACACAGATTAGGAAGCCCTTAGAGATCATGACCCGTAAAGAGAGGTGCTCAACCGCTGCCAGTGGAGAGGCCTCAACTTGAATGCCGATAAGATGCAATTCAGACAGAAGGAAGTCACTTGCCTGGCCAACGTCGTATCTTCAGAGGGTCTCGGCGGTGATCAAAGCAAGCTGAGGGCCATTAACGACATACCGGCCCGCAAAGACAAGCAAGGTGTCCACTAGAGAGTACTTGGCATGGTAAATTATCTGAAGAAGTTCCCCCCTGAACTAGCCGACTTAGTCAAGCCGTTGCGAGAACTAATAGAGAAAGATGGCTATCCAGTGACATATGCAGCTAGATCACTTACTACCACCGAGGTCAGCTTCGCCCAAATTGAAAAAGAACTGTTTTCAATTGCCTTCAGCATTGAGGGGTTTGAAGGCTATTTCTATGGAAGAAAGGTTTTTATTCAAACTGATCACAAACCCTTGGAGTCTATTATGTTTAAGAGCTTGCTGACTGCCCCCAAGAGGTTGTAAAGAATGTTGCGGTTACAAACGTTTACATTGGAAATAGCTTACAGTAAAGGAATTGAGATACATAATGCAGATCCGTTTAGCAAAGCTTATCTCCCTTCAACCAATCAGAATGAAGAAGTCAAGGAAGACGCGTGGAATGTCAGTGACATGAGGTCACCAACCGAAGTGGAAGCCGAGCACATGAAAATGACAAAGTTTGGACCTGCCAATTCGTCAAGTAACTTTGTCCGAAATAAAGGCTGCTAAGGCGGAAACTGATGCAGTGCTTAAGTCATTAGCCGCCGTCATCAAGCAGGGCTGGCCAGAGAATTTGGCGGCTGTACCCCCCTCTCTGGCCCCCTCTAACTTCTGAGAGGTTTTGTGTTCAAGAGTTAAAGAATCGAGGTACCACTTAGTTTGAGACAATGTGTTATTGACAAATCATATGCAAGCTACCTGGGTGTCTTGGGCTTTCTGCGGAGGGCTAAGGTAAGCTAGCTTTAAACTTTCTTCTGGCGTATAAGCCGATTCCAGAGTTCATGTGTAGGTGCAGTGTCTGCAATAGTTACAAACCAACACAACAAAAAGAACCTGAACAGAAAGAAACCTGAACAGAAAGAAAGAACCAACAAGACCCTGGCAAAGCATCTCGTCAGACCTCTTTAAGCTCAACGGTATTGACTACTTTGTTATCACTGATCGCTATTCTATCTTTTTTGAACTGGACGTGTTGGGGTCAAAGACCTCCAAAGAGACTATTGCAAGCTGAAACCTCATTTCCCAAAATGCAGACTGCCAGATACAGAGTGTAGACTCAATACGGTCAATTGGTCGCAATTTGACTGTGAAAGTCAGAACTTTGCTAAAGATTTCCAGTTTGAGCATATCAAAACGTCACCTAGATACCCCCAGTCCAATAGGAAACCAGAGACCAGTATGAAGGCAGCAAAGTCTGTGCTAAAGAAAGTTGAAGATTCAGGCTGTGATCCACATCAATCAATGAATCAATCAATCAATAAATCAATCAAAACCTTTATTCATGAACGATGACATTTAGAAATTGGTAGCTGAAGGGGTCGTGTATAGGACATTCAGTGACACACATTTTTCGACTAAATAAGTTAAAGTGAGTAAGATCAAAACACTAAAAAAAGAATAAAATGAAATAAACTCTTAAAATACTTTTAAAATTAACTCTTTCGAACAATTTCACAGATTTTTCGACAGTGAAACGAATAAAAACATCTAAAAAGGCGTACTGTACAGGTTACTGAAAACACGTACTATTTTAGACAAACCAATACACCGTATTCACAAATGGCGGACACGCGGGAAAAAATTGGTGCCTAGTCATGAGAGCGAGGCGTTGGAGGATAAACAAAAATTGCAAATGAAGACTTTCAGTGAACTTGCAGAGTGTTTAGCACGGATTCCACCTAAAATAACTTTGTATGGAAGTCTTTTTAAATACAGTTAAGTGGGACGTCTTCTGCTTTTAATGTTTAGTACTGCTGTTTGCAATCAAAAGGGACGCGTATATCTTCAAGGAAACAGGATGATTTTGTAGGTTTCCGAAGCCTCAGAAGCTCGACAAGTGAGCGGTGGCTGGAGAAAAGCGGCAAACATGTTGGCCCAAACTTCACACTGAACCCGAATACGAAAGCCAGCTCACTGCAATTCGGTAAAACAGAAATAAAAACAGATATTTGTGGCAAGAAAAAAAGAAATAAGCGACGGATATATGGCCTACTTGTCAACGGAAGAGACCTCCGCCATTACGCAAAACAGGGCAAGTCGAGAGCGGGTGAAAGATTCACTCACGGGACTCATTCATTCATGTCAGTGTCATTTTATACATATCTATGTATGTACGGAATTAATATCATCCAAAGGAAGTTGTAAATACAGACATATCTATGTATGTCTGTATTTACAACTTCCTTTGGATGATATTAATTCCGTCGCTTTGGAGTGAATTGTTAGAGGTACGTTGGCAGGGCTTAGCAAAAATCTTTTGATTTCTTTGTCATTGCGAAATAAAATAATTTTATCAAAATTAGAAGCTGTAGTGTGTGAATCTTATGGCTTGCTATTTGCCTGGTCTCCTTTAGGGCATTATCTCGGAGAGCTCTTGGTAAAAAAGTGGTATAAAGCTCACATTTTACTAGGTTAAACGTTTCAGGCAACATGTTTGTGTCAGGGCTGAACACGGCAAGCTTCTCAGTGTTTCGAATCATTAAATTCGAGTCTGGATCCGTTTAAGAAGACCATCATTTTATTTATTTATGTATTCTTCCCTTTTAAAATATTATGGAACATAAAGTTAAAACTCTTAACAGCCAAAGATAAGAGATACGAATTAAAATTACTCGCTGAAATTATATGTGGCCGGCTTACCGAGTCTGCCGAGTAACATGTTGAAATTTTGAGCGTACTCCACTCGATCGCTCCTGCATTTATACTAAAAAAAAAACAAAAGATCTTATCGATGTCCTTCATCGATAAAGACCAGAGAATAACGTCCTGGAAAACCTTAACCAAACATAACTTCATCGAAACCTCAGTCACCGCTTTTTTTTTCCTGTCTTCCTTTTTTCCATCTCGATTTGAACTGTTTTGTTC